CTATATTCATTTTTTAATTTATTTCGCGCTATCGCGATATATATAATCGCGAATATATTTAATTTCTATTTAATAATTTAAATAAATTTAATTAATTCTTTAATCTATAATTTATTAGCGTTAACTTTAAATCGCTATTACTTTATCGCTAAATTTAATAATACTTATAATTAATTTAGTTTAAATATATTTAATACGATATTAAGACCTTTTTAATTAATAATATAGAAGAGTATATTATATTTTCTACTCTAATTCTAGCTATTTATTAATTAGTAGTTTAACTAATACGCGCTATAGTAATATATACTTTAATTACTTAGCGCTTTTAATTATAATAAAATAATATTATAAGATTTTAAATTTTATTAGATTACGAATTTTTATGAAATTAAATTAATATATACTTTAATATCGAGTAGAGTAACGAGTTACCTCTATTCGTCTTAAAGCTTTATTTATCTCTTTATAAGAATAGAAGAAATTATCTCTATTAATCGTTATTCTTATCTCGCTTCTAAGACGATTATAAGATTTAATCTTTTTTTATTAATACGGCGTTAATATTAGTAATAGACGATTTATTAAGATTTAGATATTTAGATATTTAATAACTCTATTTATTATAATAAAAATAATTATTCTTTTTATAATTAGAGTTAAAGAATTTAACTTTATATTTTATATTACTCTCTTAAATACGCGTTACTTTAATATTATTATTTAAAGTTAATTTAAACTTCGAAATTCGCTTCTTTAAAGACTTATTCTTAATAAACTTTTTTAAAGACTTCGAATAAGAATCGCTATTAAAGTGTATATATTTTAAAATCTTTTTCTATATAATAGTCTAGATAAGAATTTCTTTCTATTATCTCGATATACTATTAATATTTAAAATTTTATTTTTAAACTTTAGTCTAAGTTTAGCTAAGAAGAAATTAGCTTAATATTTCTTAGAAAATAAGAGTAAATAAGCCTTTAACTTCTTTAGATAGATTTTAAAAATAGATATCTTCTAGTTAAAGCGGTATTTAATCTTCTCTTATTTTTTATAAACGAGAAGATAACGATTTATTAAATTCGTAATTAAATTAAATAAAAACTACTTAAAGAATTTGAAGATTATATTTCTTAGATTATAGATTTAATAGTATCTATATTATTAGATATTAAAATTATCTTTTAAAGACTATATATAATAAATAATTCTAACTTAATCGATAATAAAATATTTAGAATTTATAAGAAACTTAATTTCGACTTCGCGAAATTAGCGTAAGTACTTCTTCTTATTAATATTTTTATAAGAATATATTCTTTTAAAATAAAGTATTTTTATCTTAATTAATATATTTATTAAAAACGCGATAGTAATTAATATAGATAGATCTTCGCTAATTATAAATAATAAACTAATATTATAAAGCTCGTAATTATAAGCCTTTAATATAGTTAACTCTTATTCTTATTTTAAATAACGATTTTCGACTTTAATAACTATAAGATATTATTCTATAATAAGATTTTTTATTAATAAAAAACTTTCGAACTAGTTATTAACGCTATAGCGGCTATTAATATTATTTTTATTATTTATTATATAATTTAAAGATAAACTCGATATCGTAATAATAATAGGCCTTTTTCTTTAAAAGATAGAGAGATTAGAATTATAAAGGCGTAGTCTATTAGCGATTAGCTAGCGAATATAAACTATAAAAGATATAAAGTCGTTATAAAGTTTAATAATATATTTAATAATAGAACTAATCTCTAAGAAATATTAAAACTTTAAAATATATAAAGTAGATCTATATTCGTCAAGTCTCTAAGTATACGAGATACATTATTAAAACTAAATTCTAAAAGGGACCTTAACGTAATATATGCGATGTCGGCGCCTTAGCGTAAGTAGCGCTAAGGTCTATAACAGTATCAGGCCTAATATAGAAACTTTCTAGATTTATAGATGTATTTTATTATAAAGAGATAAGTAAAGACTTATAAATTAAAGTTATAATTTTTTTTTTAATTAAGGCTATCGAGTAAATTTAGTAAGCGATCTTTAATAAGCGATCTTTAGTAAGCGATCTTTGATAAGCGAACTTTAATAAGCGATATTTGAATTTCTTACGCTTTAATAATTATAAGATTAAATTTAAGAATTCTTTTTCTATCTAAAAGCGTAAATTACGTTTTATAATTTTAAAAAAGAAAAAAATTAATAGAAAATAAAAAGGTTATTCTATATATAAATAATTATATTTATCTTTTTAATAAGAAAACGTAAAAGGACTAGCGAGCTAACTTAGTCGATTTAATTAAAGAGCGTAACGAACTCGAATTTATAATTAACTATATATATAAATTTAAGATTTTTTAAATTAACTCTATCTTATTCTTTTATATATATTAATTTATATATAAAGAAAAAAAGAAAAAATTAAAGCGAAAATTTTATAGAAGATTATAACTAGCGTTAGATATTAATACTTTATCTAATCTAACTAGCTTATAAAATTTATAAATACTATTTAAATCTCGAAATTTTCGCTCTATTATCCGCCCGCTAACTAAGTATAATATTTTTTATTCTATACTTAGATAATTATTAACTTATAAAAATATAAAAGTAAGCTATAATTACGTAATCTTAAAAGAAATATTAGTCTTTAATATTCTTTTTTCTATAGTTAACGAAGATTTTAATGCGATTTATATTAACTTTTAATATCGTTTCTAGTACTATCTATTCTACTTACCTCTATATAATTAACTTTAAAACGACGAGACTTAATTACTCGTATATAAAGGTTAAAACTAATTTAACTATCTTTATTCTATATAAATATAGACTCTAGAATTTTAAATATATTAGATATATTCGTATTAATTTATACTTTCGATATATATAGTTAACTAGATCTTTTTATATTTAGATACGATAAAATATACTAGAGTAATAGAAAAAGAAGTCTTTATCTTTATTATATCGTATTTAATCTTATACTTACGTATATAGTAGATAGATTTAATAATATAATTTAAAAGAATAATTTAAAATAAAAAAGATAATAATTTAATAGACTAATTATATAGAATAATACTTAGCGTCGTCGATTATCTATAAATTAAATTATTATTTTATATTATAAAATAGTAATTTAAATATATAATTATCTAATTAGATTTTCGTACTATAAAGTTTAAGAGAGATTTCTTCGAGATATAATTCTTCGAAACCCTCTAAAGTCTACTATTAGTAACTCAGCTAAAAAAGCCTGGTTTCGGGGATATCTACGCTTAATAGCTAGACACCCCTATTTGAAGCTAAATAGAACCCCGTAGAACCCTCGTAGAAACGTCGTAGGGCTCTCGTAGGGGTCGCTGCTAACATCTACTTATTAGATAATTACGTATAATACCTTTTAAGATAATTTACTTTCTTACCTTATTGAGTAAATTCGTAGGGCTGTAAGGCTGTTTCCGCTTTAAATTATTTTATTGAATTACATTGCTAAACCTGTCTACTTCTCTTTATAAAATTATTTACGAGAGCGTTTATTTAACGATTATTCTATTAAATTTTCGTCGTAATTATCGTTAAATATACGTAAGAGGTATTTCGTATTATATAGATATAGAATTATATTAAAATAGTCGTTATAATAGTTATTATAGCTATTTAAGTAGATTATAAGTAATTACTATTTAAAAATCGAGTAGAATCTCTATATAGAGTAATAAAAAAATAATAAAAAATCGAGTATATTAAAATAAAGCTCTATAATTATACTCTCTATATATAACGTATTAGACGACTAGACTATATTAGAAATACGTCGTTAAACGACTTATTAATAAATCTTTATACGCGAGACTAATTTATAAGAATATAATATAGTAGTAAGATATATCTTATAATATATAGCTTATACTATCTATAATACTATTAGTAATACTCTTTATAATACTCTTAATAGTACTCTATTTAGTAGTCTTAATAATACTTCTAGTAATACTCTTAGTAATACTCTATCTAATATTCTTAATAGTACTTTTTATAATACTCTTAATAATACTCTATCTAGTAATTTTAATAGTACTTCTAATAGTATTCTATTTAATAGTCTTAGTAGTAATACGCTATCTAGTACTTTTAATAATAATACTCTATCTAATACTTCTAGTAATAATATTCTATTTAATACTTCTAGTAATACTCTATCTAGTAATTTTAATAGTACTCTATCTAGTAGTCTTAGTAATACTCTATTTAATACTCTTAATAGTACTTTTAATAGTACTTTATCTAGTAATCTTAATAATAATACTCTATTTAATACTTTTAATAATACTCTATCTAGTAATTCTAATAATACTCCTCGTAATACTTTTAGTAGTACTCTATTTAGTAGTTCTCGTAATACTTCTCGTAGTACTTTTAGTAATACTTTATTTAATAATCTTAGTAATACTTTTAATAATACTTTATCTAGTAATGTTAATAGTAATACGCTATTTAATACTTTTAATAATAGTACTCTATTTAGTATTTCTAGTAATACTCTATCTAATAGTTTTAATAGTACTTTATCTAATAATCTTAATAGTACTCTATCTAGTAATCTTAGTTATACTGTCATGAGATGCCTCAGGGACACTCATAGGGCCACTAGCGTAGGCTTGGCACCGCACATATGTGCCCTGCAGACCACATAGATAATCAACATCTTTTACACCACACACATATATGAGTCAAACCATAATGATTCCTTAACAATTGGTAGCAACACCTTAAGATCTAATTCCACTTGATCCTATGATGTAGTAGACGTCTCTTTTACGAGCCACATCTACACCACACGTTTACGCAAAGCCTACATCAAACACCTAATAGTGCAACGCTCCAAGCCGGCCCTCACATACACTCGCTGTCATCGAGTACCTTTTGACACCGTCCCATCGATCCTTTCACTAGGCCTGTCGATATCACAATGGCAGAATTACTGCAGACCCTACATGAGCAGTACCGCACCGAGCACTATGGCCCATTTCACACAAGAGAGTGCTACCCATGGGAGTATGACGCAGAAGCTCAACAATGCTTAGAGAGAGGCAATAAACCATCCTATTTCGTCACCGAAGAAGACTGCAAGTTCTTTCAACAACAGGCCAAAATCCTTCAAGACCGAGCGGCCTACATACGTCAAGAATGGGCTAGACAAGAGGCTACCTTACAGCCAAGCACTAAGCCTGTCACTCAGCCAGTCACTCAGTCAACCACTCAGCTGGCCACTCAGCAAGCCACTCAGCCAGAGCACTCAGTTGAGCAAGAGGAGGAACTACAACAGGCAAATGCGGAGAACACTGCGGAGAAACCAAGCGACAACGAGGCCACCATCATCAAGAACATGGCTCTACTCTCCACGATCTCACACCAGTCCAATCAGCCAGTGCAAGAGGAGGAACCAATACTACAGGCAAATGCGGAGAACACTGCGGAGAAACCAAGCGACAACAAGGCCACCATCATCAAGAACACGGCTCAGCTCTCCAAGATCCCACGTCATATGCTCTCCACGGTTCCACGTCAAATCATCACTCAGCAAGCGGAGAACACCACTGCAACTTGGCCTGTCATCCCCACTGCATTGATATGGTATATCACTGCAATGACGTCACAAGAGGAGGATCTACTACGACGATTACAGCCAATTGGGCCTCTGCAGGAGGAACATCGGACGATGCATATTTGGACGAATTGAAACCGTCCGATGTCTTGCTCCGACAGTCATTTCATTATTTAAAAGTTTTCATTTCAGCAGGAGATTTCGTGGGATGCACACCACTAATTAGCCCGGTGTCTCCATTCCTTTCCGACATTCGAAAAACCATGCATGCATACTTCTTGCCATGAGGACATGGCATTTCTCTGTTTTTTGTGGGCAATTGTCATGAGATGCCTTAGGGACACTCATAGGGCCACTAGCGTAGGCTTGGCACCGCACATATGTGCCCTGCAGACCACATAGATAATCAACATCTTTTACACCATATACATATATGAGTCAAACCATAATGATTCCTTAACATATACTTTTCGTAGTACTCTTAATAGTATTCTATTTAATAGTCTTAATATTACTTTTAATAGTATTCTATCTAGTAGTCTTAATAGTAATACGCTATTTAGTACTTTTAATAATAATACTCTATTTAATATTTTTAATAGTAATACTCTATTTAATACTCTTAGTTATTACGTTCTTAGTATAGCGTAAGAAATCTAACTAGCGTAACTTGATATATCGCTTTCTTTCTTCGATTTCGTTTATAGCTAAAGCTTAATTAATTAATTAATCAATTAATTAATTATAATTAAAATTAAGAAATATCTTTTTCTTCTTTATAAAACTTCTTTTTAAAAGTATATATATACTTCTTATATAGTATCCTTAATAATTAATAGTAATATAGACTTTTCTATATTCTTTAAATACTATTCTTACTATTTTCGTATTAGAGATACTATTCTTATATTAAGAAGTTTTTCTTCTATTACTTTTTTAAAGAAAGGATCTTTTTCTAAAAGAAAGGATCGCTATAAAAGCTACTTGATTCTCCTTATCTTTTTAAATAACTTTCCTTCTTTTAAAGAAAACTTATCTCTCGTTCTTAATACTTTTCTTTCTTCTCGATAAATCTTTCTTTTTATTTTTTCTTTATATCTTTTTATAATAAAGTATAATTATTTATAATTAACGAAGTTAGAAAATCTATTTTATTAGACTTAATAATTTTATTTATCTTTTAATTTTAAGCTTTTTTAATAAAAAATCTTAAACTTTATAAATAGATTCTTAATAAAAATTATTATTAAATTATTAAATCGATTATATAGACTTATAATCTATCTATTAATATTCTATATAATTAAGATTTATACGTTTAATAAGATCGATCTTAAAATATTAACTTAATCTCTCTTTTAAAGATTACTTAATTAGAGAAATCTTTTATTTACTCTTTTTTCTAAAATTATAATTTTAGATTTATAAATACTTTAATAAAAGTAGTTATTATCTTTATATAAGAAGTTTATTATTATATAAATACTAATTACTTTCTTATCTAATAAATTAAAATAACTCGCTTTAAATTTAAGAATATCTTTATTTTTAAGAATTTAAATCTCGATTTAAGAGATTATATAGATATCTTTTTAGAGTTATTATCTTCTTCTTTTTTTAAAATAATTTAATCTTCTTATCTTAATAATAAAACTTTTTTTTTAAACTCGATAAAGATAAAGAAAGAAGATTTATTAATCTTTTTTTATTATTATTTATAATACTTACGCGAAGAATTTAATCTCTTTATTAATCTTAATCTCTATCTTTCTTTTTATCGCTTTTAGATTCTATATTAAAAGTAAATCTTACTTTAAAAAAATTAAGTATATTAGATTTCTAGAATCTCTATATAGCTATAAACTTAATAAATAAAATTCTCTTTTTATTAAATTAAGCTATATTTAATAAGATATTAAAAAATAATAATAAAGAATATCGAAATTTTATAAATATAGGATTTTTTAATAATAAATTTAATAGATCGATTTTTAATTAGTTAAAAGCTTTTAATTTAGAAAATATTACTTTAAAATTTAATTTTAGCGAAAATTAGCTTTTATAAAATTAAGAAAGTCTTTAATAAATATCGTCTTTATCTATAAAAGTAAATTTGATAATATAATAAATTATATTATAAACTATATAAGTAATTATAAAAAATTTATAATCTATATCTAATATTATAGGTCTAATAAATTTATAAAATCTTTTAGAATCTTCTAGATAAGCTACTTTAAGAAGATCTAGTAATAATTTTTATATTTTCGATTTAGAATTCTTTTATTTAGATCTTAAAGAATTATATAGTATTAATAATATTATTTTTAATAGTAAAGAAATTATATATTAGAAAGTATATTCTTTTTATTAATATATAAAAAACTATATTATAATTAAAGAAGAGAATATTATATATATAAATCTCTCGATTTATTTTTAAGAAACTATCTTATTCTAATAGCTAAATACTTTATTCTAAAATAAAAAAAACGCGATAATATAATTTTAAATAGAATTAAAAAGAATACTTACTCGATTATAAGATTATTTTAAGATATTTATATTCTCGACTCTAGATTAATTTATAAAATAAGTTTATACTCTTAATAATATTAATAGTAGATATAATCTTATAAGCTATATATAGAGTATTTTTAAATATATTATATAAATAGAAATCTTCGAAAAATACGCTTAAGCTATTTAGATATAAAATTATTTAAAAATTAAATTATAAACTATTATATCTTCTTTAACTTCTTAAATTATATTTTATAAATTTATAAAAAAGCTTAATAATAGAAAGAAGCTATAATATTATCTTAATTAATAAAAAAAATTATAATATAAAAATATATAAAAGAAAGTTTAAGATTAAGATTAAGAGAGAGATTAAGATTAAGATTATAAATAACGATTTAATAAAGATAGATTTTTTTTTAGAAAATAATAAGATAAATTTTAAAAAGCTTAGAAGCGATTATTTCTTTCTTCTTATCTTTTTATAATAAATTTATAAATATATAATACTTATTTTTATTAGTTAAGATTATTATATCTAGATTATAAATATTAATAATAATCGAATTTTTCTATATATCTCTCTTATACTTTTTAAGCTTATATATTTTATTAATAAAATTAAGATAATTAAGTATTTTCTTATATATAGCCGCTTAAATAGTAATTTTTATAGACTTTATTTTAGATTTAGACTTAAACTTAAACTTTAATTATAACTTTAGAAAATTAAGCTTTAAAAAACGCTTTATCGACTTTTAAATAATTATTTATAATTATAATTAAAAACGTCTAGCTAAATTAATTATAGTATTTAAATTAAATAAATTATTAGAATTATAATAAATATTTATTTTATCTAATTAGATAGTATAGTAATAATTAGAAATATAGTAATTAAGAATTTATGAGAATATCTATATCTTAATCTCTATAGAAAGTATATTTTTATAATCTTAGAAATAAGAGCTTTATTTTTAAGAGCTATTATAAAGACTATAATCTTATATATTTATAGAATTCTTTAATATATTATATAAATAATAATTATTATTTTTATAATATATATAAAAAAATAAAATTTTAGAAGATAAGAAATTCGATTATAAGAACGAGAAAGTCGATATTAAATTTATCTTAATTACTTATTATATTATTATAAGTAAAATAAGAGATTTACTAATTTATCGAAAATATTAAAAAAAAAAATTATCTAATAATTAATTATATATTTATTTTAAAAAAAAATCTTATTATTAAATAGTCTCTTTAAAGAATATTAAGAAGATTTCTAAAGAGAAGAATTCTATATTCAATTTATTATTAGAGAAATTAATATAAATTTTTAAGAAAATACTATTAGAAAAGATATTTATTTCTAAAAAACTCGAGTTAATTAAATTTATAATACTCGCGAATTTAAATAATAAAATAATCTTTTAATTATAATATTATTTTATTAAGCTATTTAGTTTTTCTTTAAAAGCTTTATTAAAATTAGAATATCTAAATATTAAATATCTAATAAATATAAGAAATCGAGTTTTCTTAAAGAGATTAGTGCTCTCTTTCTCTATTAAGAAGTATATAATTTCGATTATCTTACGTGAAATTAGCTTAAATCGATATTTTATTAATAAATAAATTACTCTTTCTTTCTTTATAAAAGATAAAACTTCGAAAAAAAAGTCTATTATAATTAAGTTTATTCGAGATATATATATTATAAATAATTTTAAAGTAAATCTTCTAATAGAAATAAATATACTCGATTTAAAAGAAGTAATAATTAATCTTTTATAGAAGAAAGTAATTCTTATTAAGTATAGAAATATCGCTATATTAATATAAGCTATTATTAGAGATAATATAAGAATTTAATAAATTATAAGATTAAAATAATATTAAGTTATTTCTTCAAAATCTACTAAATCTATTACTATATCTTTATAAGATAAAAACTCGCTTTCTAATTAAAATTTTCTTTTTAAATCGAAGATAAATAAAGTTTATATATATCTTATAAATATAAATTTTAATTTTATTTCTATTCGAAATAATAGCGTTACTTCGTTTATAATATCTCGCTATTATAGAATTAACTTTATAATTAAATATAAAGCTAAAGAAAATTATTTAATTTAAATAAAGAATTACTTTTTAGTAGTTAAGATATTCGAAAATAAAAGGCCTATATTTAAGGAATTTATTAATTTTATTATATTAAAATTAGTTATCGAGAAAATAACTATAGATTTTATTTTAAAAACGCGATTATTTAATAGAATTACTATTTATAAAAAATAGAAATATATTAATATAATACGAAGTATTTTAGAAGAAAATCTTTATATTTAAAAAGATTTTAATAATATTATTAATCTTTCTAAAGCGAAGTAATTATAAATACTAATTATTATAAATTAATAATCTTTTTTAATAAAGTTAGAAAATAAGATTTATTCTCTAATTTTAAAAAATTATAAACTTATTAATAAAAAGTTTAATAAGATATATATATAAGATAAGATAAGCTAGTCTAAAAAATTAACTTCTTTTATTTTCTCTATTTTTATAATCTATAAAATAGTTTATATTAAATTTAAAAAAAT